TGGTTGCTATAGATGCATAACTTCCCTCCTCCAGTAACATTTGCATTTGAGCTTTTTCAGTTAAATTAAATGAATTGCTCTCTATCTCTCTCAGGTTTGACGTCCCTGATGTTGTACTATCGTTTCCTGCATCCCAAACCTACTGAAATCTCTCTGGGTTTAGGTCAGCGTGCGCACATGGGTCGTGAATGTCTTCAGCAGGGCGATTCGTCCTTTTCTCTGGGGGACAAAAGTCTTCCTCCGGCCCCTCTTCCCATCCTCTTCCCGTCCTCTCATCCTTCCCTCTCCCTCTCTGGGATTCCCAGCTCTCTGCTGGAGCATCCCGGGAGCTGCGCGTGAAGCCGGACGGAGAGTGTCGCCACCATCACTGGCTGCTCATCCGTCTCGCCCTGAAAACCGGTGACCCGGTTAAGATCAACAGGGCGTATGGGGCGGGTGGCGTGTCTGGGATACTGGTGGTGGATTGGAAGGGAGAGATCATAGAGGACGGGTGCGTGTCCACCTCGAAAAGCCGGGACAATACGATGGTGCCGCTGTCCGACGGTAGGGACGAGTTTGAGAGCGTGAGTGAAGCCAGAGAGGAAGACGAAGCGGATGACAGTCTCGAAATGGAGAGCCCATTAGAGTCGCCTGAGTCCGAGTGCAAGCGGAGCTCGCCGGAGGGAAAATCTGTTTTTGGGGAAAGTCCTGAGCCCAATTATTGCCCCACTGAATCCAGCTCCACTTTATACTTCAGTGCCGACCCACAATCCCCCAGCAGCTCCAGTAACCCGCGTCTGGACCGCGAGACGTCCTTCGGTTTCGGCTCTGGAACCGGCCTGGAAACTCTGGACGAGTTGAGTCCCATTTCCACAGACGGCGGGCTGCACAGGGATCTCGCCCGCGGGCTTCTGGAACGAGCGGGACCCTGCTACACATCTGCGCCCAGACTGAATGGACAAGGGCTTCCGGAGGGTTCTGGAACACACCTCAGAGGCCCCCACAGGCAGGTAGTTCTGTCCCACAGGGGTCCGGAAGAGGACGGCGGGTTTTTAACAGCAAATGAACTGCAGCTTTAAATGGCATTCACACCGACGGCGGTTTCCAGCGTGAACGTTTCCAGACAATATAAGCAGCACTGTTGCAATGTGGGCGTGTCTTTAATGTCATGCAAATGAGCTTCAATGGCAGCTATCAATGAGATTGAAGATGATCCATGTGAAGCAAGATGGAGAAGCAGTTAATGGTGTTGTGAGCATTTCACTGTGTTATGTAATTTGTCTTTGCCCATATTCAGGGATGTAATTTAAAAAAAATAATTTGTGGAAAACTTTGTCAGAAATTGTCGGCAATGAGTTTCATTCATGCAAAAATACTTATTCATCTTGTTCATAATGTGATGCAATTTCAAGACTGCTTCCCTTCCAGAATGTGAATTTTAGTGGCAGCAAAACACATTATGCACACACACGCACACACATATATATATATATATAATACACTACTCTTCAAAAGTTTGGGGTTGGTAGATTTTCTTTTCTGAAACAATTCTCTTCTGCTCACAATTTATTTGATCAAAAATACAGTAAAAACAGTAATATTGTGAAATATTATTACAGTTTATTTATTTATAATATCTTGTAAAATGTTATTTATTCCTGTGATGTAAAGCTGAATTTTCAGCATCATTACTCCAGTCTTCAGTGTCACATGATCCTTCAGAAATCATAATAATATGCTGATTTGCTGCTCGAGAAACATTTCTGATTATTATCAATGTTGAAAACAGTGCTTTACTTTTTTTTTTGTTTTTTTTTGTGGAAACTGTGATACATTTTTCAGGATTCTTTGATGAATAGAAAGTTAAAAAGAAAAGCATTTATTTAAAATAGAAATATTTGTAACATTATAAAAGTCTTTACTGTCACTTTTGATCAATTTAATTGTCGTGCTGAATAACAGTATACTTTGTACTGACTCCAAAATCATACTGACTCCAAACTTTGATATATATATATATATATATATATATATATATATATATATATATA